CCTGCTCACCCACCAGGCCTGCCCTCCTCACCCACCAGGCCTGCCCTGCTCACCCACCAGGCCTGCCCTCCTCACCCACCAAGGCCTGCCCTGCTCACCCACCAGGCCTGCCCTCCTGACCCACCAGGCCTGCCCTCCTCACCCACCAGGCCTGCCCTGCTCACCCACCAGGTCTGCCCTCACCCACCAGGCCCACTCCTGCCTGGAGGACACACCACATGGCTGTCCTCCCCACCCCACCTAGTTTCCAAAGGGACCTTTTCCAAAGAGGAAAAACAGGAGAGGACAGTACAGGAGTCCTCCCTCTGCTTAACCCTGCGGTGGTTTCCTCTCAGGCTTAGGGTAAAGCCAAACCACTCACCACCACCAAGGCCCCCTTCCCGGCTACGAGCCTTGGCCCCCCACCCCGCTGCTTCCCTCTGCTCAGGGGGCTCCACGTGGGCAGCTCACAGTTCCCTGCGCCCCAGGATCTTTGCTGGCCTTTCCCTCGCCTAGGCTCTGCCCAGGGGATGATGCGCTCTCCGGGAACGGAGGGACAAGGCTGGGCCGCGAGGACCTCGCACTCCCGGCTGCTGCGGGACCAGTGCACAGGGGAGAAGGCCTGCGGGTTTCATCCAGACTGGACCCCTCGGGGCTCAGTGTGCAGACCCGCACTGCACCGCAGCTCTGCAGGGGACGGCCTTGGCGCAGCCCCACAGAGTCACCCCGTTCATTCCTTCTTTCATTAGAACAAATGCATGGGTGCCAAGCCGGCAGCCCAGTCCTCCTGGCACCCCAGAGTCCTGCCCCTCAAGGAAGAGTCCGCCTCCCGAACCCGCGTGCAGGCTGATTCCCACCTAGGCCCGGGTCTGCAGGCCGCGGAGAGGCAGGGACTGGGTGGCAACGGGGCTCCACGCCATGCCCAGGGCGGGTCCTCACCTTTCCAGCCCTTTCCTGTCTCCACCACAGCCACCTCCTTCCAGCTCACGCCCCGCCCTGCGTCCCGGGCTGTTCCTGGGCGTGGGCGCCTTCCTCCCCCGGGCAACCCCACAACCTGCTCAGCCTACTTCTCCTCAGGAGCCCCCACTCCTCCCCCGCCACCGCCAGGCCAGACACCGAAGCCCCATCTCGCCCCTCCTGCCCAGGCTCACAGCCCCAACTCCAACTTTGAAAACCTCACGGCCACGGGACGCCAACACGTGGTTTGGGCAACGTGGGCACCTGTCTCGAAAGCCCCCAAGGCTTCACTGTCCCCGCCAGAGGGGGCTGCCAAGCCAGGGTGCAGACCCCCTTCCCCCAGAACCCCCAAGTCTAGCCCCCATCCCCCTGTGGAGGAAGGCGGGGGGTCTGGAGCAGGGCCGGTCCTGTATGTGCGCCCCGGGAGACAGTGGTGCCCGCGCGCGTCCCTGGTTAAAGAAAGGCCACCTCGGTGCCCGCAGGACCCACAGAGCGCCCTCAGGGACAGGACTGGGGACCCTGGCCGCCGCACAAGTTTTCTTCCAGGAAGAGAAGAGTAAGGCAGAGCCACCGGCCACGCCACCCACCCCTCCCCACTGGCCCTCCGCCTTTCCCTTCCCTCCTGCGCTCGCTCGGGTGGCACAGCGGCCTGGGCCAGTGGCGCCTTCCCCCCGCGGGGATTCGCAGCTCAGCCGCTGAATCTGGAAGTCGGAGCGCCTCCCAGTCAGGTGGAAGAGCCCCCTCCCACCCCAGCATGGGAACGGCCCCCAGCCTGGACCTTGTACTTGAGGTGAAAATATATCTGCCAAATGTGGCTCTCTGTTTCAAAAACGGTAGTCCCCTGATTAAGATACACCTTCCAGAAGTCCAGCGTGTTTACATTTATCATGAGCGCTTTTTAAAATTTGCATTTTCTAAAGTGCTTTTAGCTTTTAAAAATGTTCGCACCTGCATCGGTTCATACAACTGGCATGAGAGAAGTGTAGCCACCATTAAGAACTCTATTATATAAATGAGAAAACTGAGGGTTACATGGTCAAATAATTTGGGTCAGTGAGTAAATAAAAGAAACATACTGGTGAGTGACTACTTGCGCCAGGCACTTGTAATCTCCTCCAATTTTATCCTCCTAAGAACCCTTAGAAGTACAGATAAGGAAAGTGAGGCTCTGAGGTTTGGGTGTTTGCCCGGGTCACACAGCTAGAGATGGAGCTGAACCGTGGTTTGGCTTATCACATCACCAAGCCCTTTCATCCTTCTCTGGGCTGTGAAACATCACGGCTCCTTCGCTTGGGGAAGTGTTACCCCTGTGATAAGAGCAGCAAGAACCTTTTTCTTGGAATGAATAAAATACTGTGGAAAGAATAAAAAACAAGATGTTAGGGGCCCACTGTCCTCTGTTTCAGGGGCTCCTCTGCTCATGATGACTCTTAGACTAGAACAGTCTAGAACTCTGCAGCTGGCCTAAGGCCTTGGAACCCAGGCACTGGTGCGACACTCCACCTTTTTTTCTGTCTCTTTGGGAGAGTCCACTAACCAGCCATTCTAATCTAAAATAGGATAATATTTTCCGGGGATCAATTTAGATATCTATGGTAATCATTTGTGCTGTTTTTCAAATAGTCTGGGCCTCCTTTGCTGACATGGTAGGAGGCCATACCCTGGGCCTCTTGAGTGGGTACGGTCATGTGACTCACTTTGCCGGTGAGTAGACATGACTTGTGCCACTTCCTGGAGAAAATCGTAAGAAACAGTTCACAATAGTCTTGTAGTCTAGTCTCTTTCACCTTTCCTTGGCAAAAGCAGAGACAAAGAGATAGAGCCTGAGTTGTCCCTTAGTCAAGAAGATCTGATCTACAATGGCAGTGGGATATAAGGGAGAAATATGTTGCTTCTAGTTGCTGAGATTTGGGGATGCTTGTTACAGCAGCAAATTCTAGCCTATCCTAACTGATACAGTAACATATTTGAAAACGGTATGCCTTCTATACATACATTACAATATGTATATGCTTCATTCTTCTTATCTATAAAATAGGGTAATTTACGTCATGAGGACTAACTGAATAATACATATAAATGATTACATATGTCCTGACGCATTATATATTTTGCATGTGTTCACTATTATCATTAATGTTGTTCTTCTTTTATGTAACTATTATTATGAATGTTGTTCTTGCTATTGTTTCTTTTTTAAAATGTTTCCTGCATAAGCCCTGATGCCCAGGCCAGTGGTAAGGGAAGGTGTTGGGACCTACCCAACAGAAGTAACTGTGTAGGGAGCGAAAGTGAGGCCAGGTCTTCCGAGGAGCAGTCAGCTCTGGAGGTCACTTGGTTGCCACGGTCCCTCTTTGATGGCAGTTGCCCTATCTGCCTTCTTCAAAACAAATTACAAAAGTCATGCACATTGTCTATGAAAAATCAGAAAACATAAAAGTATAAAGAAAATAAAAATTATCTGTAATCCCACTCCAAAGATAACCTCTTTTAATATTTTTGTATATATATATCTTTCTCATCTATTTTTCTTGCACCATTTTATTTCTCCAAGTAGAACTTGTACTGCACATAGCTGTCAGGCAACCTACGTTGTCTTTCGTATTATTTTTTTCTTTTAACTAAAAATATGTCAAGAACATTTTCCCACTTTATTAAATGTTTTCCTACAAAATAATTTTAATGCAGCTTAGTAAGGCACATATGAATCTGTAGCAGCAATTAAATTACTAATTCCTAGTTCAAAATCCAGCCACAAAATTACTGAGCACTTAATACACGCCATGCATTGAGCTAGTGCTGGTGGTAAACTGATGATAAAATCAGGCCCGGCCCACCCTCAGGAGCTGACCCTTCACTGTCTCCCAGGGAGTACTTGGATTCCTGCCCTCGGGGGAGGAGTGCTGGGCCGTTATCAATAGTGATGCAGTGATGCGAAGAACATCCTTAAAGCTACCTCTTTTTCCAAATCTGCCTGACTTGTGATTCTGACAGGTACAAAACAAAATACAATAAATGTCTTCTTAAATGTATAACGGAGTTCGAAAAGAAGTGAGGGTAAATATCAGGGGCCAAAAATGGAAAGAAACATGGAAAGCAGTAGACTAAATAGGTGTTAGCATTTCAGATACCCGGTGGAGCTGGAAAGACGATGAGAGTCCATTTATGTACACTGGGGCTTGGGTTTATAGCCGTACATATATAGGAGAAGTCCCACAGGCCAGATCAGGATGGGGAACTGTGTCTGAGATCCCTGCAGAAGGTGACACCCACAAGAAGCTCCATATTTGGTAAAAGAGCAGATTGCACCCTAACAAAGAGTGAAAAGAAGGAAGCTTGTCCGTTTTCGCTTGAGTGCTGAATAAAAAGAAAAAGGATTCCTGAGAATTTGTAAGCTCTGCAAACAATGTCCACATCGTTTAGAGTTCAGGGTTCGGGGTTCAAATGTATTGTACCTCACGGCCTAGGTACCACAAAACACAATAAATTAACGTGAGAAATATTCCTGGGCTGGTAACACCCCCTGGCCACCTGGCAGAAGTAACAGTCATCCTCTCAATCCAGGCCACAGGGAAGTCCTACAGAGAAGGAAGACCAGCACACATGAACTTGCTGGTCAAAATTAGAAAACCGTTGAGGAAGTGAGCCTCAAGGAGCAGGCATCAAAAGAAACAACAAATAGAAAAGCAGGCCTCCAAATACCTCACATAATGAGATTATCTGATAAGTACTGTGAAGTATGTAAAACTACGAAATACATAAGTAAAAAAATGCGATCACAGAAGAACAGAGTGTTGTGTAAAACGAGAGGAGCAGGAGGTCAGCGAACATCCATGGCCGTGTGCGCTGATACCTCAGCGCACACAGGCATTGCGCACATCCTAGGAGGGTGTCCCATCAGTATTGTGTTTGACTTCAAGGAACAGAAAACCCACTGTCCAACGGTGCCTAAAACAGAGCAGAGGTTATTTTTCTCCAAAACCTACCAGTTTAGAGGCGGGCTTCTGTTGGCATTGGCTCAGCCATTCATCTGCGGCATCTGGGGCCCAGGCTGTCACCATTGCACTTGGCCTCCCTTAGTAAATCGTTTTTTGTTATTGTCCTTGCTACCTCAAAATTTCAGGATGACTGCTGCCTCTTCAGATAGCACGTAACTGCAAAAGTGGGAAGGGAAGAAGCGAAGGGTGAAGAGCCAGCTACATATGCCCCTGCTTATAACAAACTACCACCATTGCCACCACCACCACCATCACCATCGCCACCACCGCCACCACCACCAGCACCAGCACTATCATCATTATTTCCACCACCATCACCACCACTGCCACTGCCACTGCCACTACCACCACCACTACTGCCACTACCACTGCCACCACCACCACCTCCACTGCCACTACAACTGCCACCACTGCCACTACCACTGCCACTACCACTGCCACCACCACCACCTCCACTACCACTACCACTGCCACCACCACTACCAACACCATCATCACCAGCACTATCATCATTTCCACCTTCACCACCACCACTGCCACTACCACCACTGCCACCACCACCAGCACCAGCACTATCATCATTATTTCTACCACCACCACGACCACCACTGCCACTACCACCGCTGCCACTACCACCACCACCATCATACTGCCACTACCACTATCACCACCACCAGCATCATCATCTTCCACCATCACCATGACCACTGTCATCACAATCACTTCCACCACCACCACCATCACCATCACCACTGCTACAACATCACTGTCACCAGCACTATCATTTCCACCACCACCACTATGACCACCACTGCCACTACCACTTTCACCAGTACCAGCACCATCATCATCATTTCCACCACCCCATCACCACCACTACAACCACCACCACCATCACCGTTATCATTTCCATCAGCACCATCACCACTACCATCACCATCATCCCCACCACCATCACCATCAGCATAATCATCTCCACTGTCATTACCACATCACCACTATCATGATCATCATCACCAACACCCACACCACCATCAGTAGCACCACCACCGCCACCACCATCACCACCACCACCATCATCATCACTATCGTCACCTCCACCACCGCCACCAGCATCACCATCCCCCCCCACCATCACCATCCCCCCCACCATCACCTTCCCCCCACCATCACCATCCCCACCACCACCACCACCATCACCACCACCACCAGCATCACCACCATAGCTATCACCATGCTTCACGCCCTCTGACTCTTATAGGTGCCTCTCTTCGTCTCCCAAGGACGCTTCTTTCTGGAAGATTCCAGTGTGGCAACAAGGGTTTGACAGGAAGCTTTTTGACTAAAGGTGAATTAAGGCGCCTGCTAAAAGATGAAAAGTGTGCTTACAAGTTCCCAAAGCTGGCCCATAGCATCCCTGCTGGTAGGAACAGCTGTCCACGCTAACCTGTGCCAGGCCACAGCCCTTGGTGGAATTTTACCGTGAAACTAAGACCACTTCAACGTGTATAGGGGCACAAAACCTGCCTGGAATTGAACCATGAGCTATTGGGTCACTAAACAGCAGTTGTATCTTTTTTACGAAACACAGAACAAACTCTATCAAAGGCGCGGCGGAGCAAATGAAGTCCACGGAAAAAAATTCACCTGCTGAAAATGCTAAAAGTCTGTGTGAGGAAAGACGCGACAACTTGCAGATTTGCGTGTTGAAGTCCACTAGCATTCCAAATCCTTACTATTTTCATTTGTAATATAAAGTTTCATGATACTCCCATTAGTGATGAACTGAATTCACTTCCAACCACTGGGAGCAATTCAAGCCAGTTGTTTATGGCCACAGCTATAAGTCTGGACACCTAGGGAATTTGGAGGCTGGGGGTTTTCTTTCATTGCGGTGGTGCCAGGGCTGGTGGGCACGGAGGAGCCCTGCCCACCGCAGGAGGAGTGAGAGATGCAGAGGCAGCCCCTGAAAGAGGCTGGGATGGGTAAACAGAGGGAACCTGTGTGGTTCAAGGACAGAGGAACCTGTGTGGGTGACGGGGAACTGCTGTTTTCTGGGGTTGGAGTGGGTCTCAGATACGGCCCTCGGGTGCACAGGTAATCATGCCCACCCCTCTTTGCCTAGGCAGCCTGTCCTTTCCACGGAGCCTGTTCTCCTCCCTACCCTCCCACCCTCCCTGCTGCAGTACAAGGAGCACAGACAGTGCTGGCGTGGCTTGACTGAGTAGCCTTGTCCAGGGCACCCGATTTCTCTGAGCCCCTTTTTCCTTATGTGTAAAATAGTGGAATAACTCCTTACCACATCACCTGGGCATGCAAAGCTCCAAAAGTGTTAGCTAGCACAATTACTGTTATCCTCGACCGCCAAGGAGGAAACGGAGGCAGGCAGAGGTTGAGTGATTTGTTCAAAGCCACACAGCTATAAGGGGTGGGCCAGCAGTCAAACCAGCTGCCCTCCCTGTCGGAGAATCGCAGGTGGGGCACTCTTGGACATCCGAAGTGTGTGTCCCCACTGCCTCTGGTCACCGTCCCACAGGGGGTGCAGAGGGGCATACAGGCCTGAGTGAGTTGTGTTCTCACTAAGCCCTGAACCTGGCACTCATCTGCAGCTAGCTCTGAGGCTGGGCAGAGGGCCCCAGGGGGCCAGCGGCAGGCACCCACTTCTCCGTGACACCTCGGCTCCCCTCATACCAAGGTCTTCAACCATCCACAGCCCACATCCTCGCACAGACCCACTGCAGACCAGATGGTCCCAGACCAACACCTTTTAACAGCACTCCAGTCACCAGCCACACATGGGGCCCAACACTTGGAGGACTCTGGAAACTGAGGACAACTGAAGCCCCGCCTTAGTGGGCTGCTGTGAGGGCAATATCAGCAAGTGCACCTAGGGCTGCCCAGCACGGCCGCCCAGGCTGGGGTGGCCAATGCCCATGCCCCTCTCCTCTCCCTTCCCTCCAGTGTCTCTATCTGCAGGACTTAGAGGCTTTCCCAGTGTTCCTCCAAGCAGGGTGCTCCCGGGAATTCTTGCCTAGAATAGTGGTGTTGCCACCAAATGCCTTCAGCCGGTGAAAAGGAAGCAGCCACGTGGGTGACCACAACACCCGTCACGCTGGAAACATTGCCCCCACTTCCCAACAGCCAGTGATCAGGACAGGGACGGCACCCCAGGCAGGCGGCTCTGTGGATGTAATGAACTGAACCACACAAAACCCTGGCAGCAGGACCTGACCCAGAGCAAGAGTTCGAGCGTTGTTGGCTGCTGCTAGGACAGTTTTTATTTTTTATGTTTTATTGTTATTATTTTTTTTAAAAGAGAGTTTTGCTCGTGTTGCCCAGGCCAGATTGCAGTGGCGCAATCTCGGCTCACTGCAACCTCCGCCCCCACACCAGGTTCAAGCGATTCTCCTGCCTCAGCCTCCTGAGTTTCTGGGATTACAGGCACCCACCACCAAACCCAGCTAATTTTTTTTGTATCTTTAGTAGAGACAGGGTTTCACCATGTTGGCCAGGCTGGTCTCGAACTCCTGACCTCAGGTGATCCGCCCGCCTTGGCCTCCCAAAGTGCTGGGATTACAGGAGTGAACAACCACACCCAGCCACTAGGAAAGTTTTTAAAAGAAAGGTACAAGGGAGCATGTGGCTGTGTAGAGAAGTTTGTGGGAAGACAGGCTGCGGAGGTCACATGTGTCTGGTGGCTCCAGTGAGACCAAGTGTTGACTTCATTCCTTTACCCCTTCAGTGCCTTGTGAGCATCTGGCCCTGCTCTACAGTGCACAGAGAGGCTCTTCCCTGTGGCAACGACGTCCCCGTGCATTGTGACACTCAGCCTCAAGGTGTCTGGTGAGTCTATGTCCTGTTTTGTCACAGCCTTTTCCAAAGCTTTTCTTACATATTTTCAGGTAATCACATGCTTTTCCTCCTGCTATTCCTGGAATAAATCCTGGTTTGTCATGTGTTATTGGATTTAATTTTCTACTATTTCATGTTTTTACATTTATTTTCAAAAATGAGCTCGGTTTACAGCTTTGTGTCTGCTTTTATCAAGTTTTGACAACAAGGAAACTTGAAAGGAATTATTTATTAAAAGTTTGACAGACTTTGACTATGAAATTGCTTGGACAAGTGAGAAAAGGTAATAGAAAAAAGTATTACATTTATAACAATAAAAATAAATATCTAGATGTAAATTTCCCTCCATAGTACTATTCCTTTTCATTTGTTTGTATAACTTGATGTATAATTTACATACAACAAAATACGCAGATCTTTACTGCTCAGTTCAATGAATTTCGACAGTTGCAAACAGCCAAATCAAGATCTGGAATATTTCTGTCACCTAGAAAGTTTCCTCATGCCCTCTTCCTGTTGGTACTCCACACACATCCAGAATCAACCATTGTTCTGATTTCTATCACCAGAGATTCGTTTGCTTGTCCTAGAAATTTATATAAATGGAAACATACTGTTAGAACTCTTTTTTGTCTGGTTTCTTTCACACAGCATAATAATTTTGTGATTCAACCACTTAGTTGTGTGTATCAATAATTGATTCTGTTTTACTGCTAAGTAGTATGTCATTGTTTCACTGCATCGAAAATTGTGTAATTCATACACCTACTGATGAATCTGGGATGTTTCTAGCATAGGATTATTTGAGTAAAGTTGCAATGCACATTCATGTACAGGTCTTTTTAAGGATTCCTGGATAAATACCTAGAAGTCGAATTGCTGGGTCACGGGTAGGTGTATGTTTTAGCTTTATAAGGAACTGCCAGAGAGTTCTCAACGTTACCATCCCATTTTACACGCCCGCCAACAAAGTATGAATTCTAGTTGCTCCACACGCCCACCAATATCTGATAGTGTCAGTTGTTTTAATTTTAGTCCTTCTAATATATGTATAATGGGAATTCATCATGATTTTAATTCGCTTTTCCCTGATAACAATGTTGAGCATCTTTTCAAGTGCTTATCGGCCCTTTACGTATCTTGCATTGTAAAGTGTCTATGAGTCTTATTACCATTTTAACTGGGCTGTCTGCCTTTTTATTATTTTTAGTGATTCTTTACATGTTATGAATATGGATTCTTTATCACTGTGAATACTTCCTCATCTGTGGCTTGCTTGTTCATTTGCTTAACTGTATCTTTTGATGAGTAGAAATGTTCATCTTGATGATGTCCAATTCTTATTTTTTGATTTATAAAGTTTTTTGTGC